AACAACAACAACAACAACAATGCATAATTTTAATGTAAAGGCCATAATCGCTGCAGGTGTGAAAGTAAAAGTGCCTCTATTATTCAGAAAACTCCCTTTAAACTAGGAGCTCTGGTAGCGTAGTGGTTACGAATCGGGCTGCGAACCGCAAGGTCAGCAGTTCGAAACCGCCAGCTGTTCCACAGGCGAAAGATGAGGCTTTCTGCTTCCGTAAAGATTTACAGCCTCAGAAACCCTGTACAGGGTCGCTATGGGTCGGATCCGACTCCACGGCACATAACAACAACAACCCTTTAAACTGCTGTAAACAGCATGTACCACATCAGCAAAACACAGAACCTTGTAACTACCTTGTTTGTAGAAAGATGTCTTTTGTTCACAGGCCACGTATTTGAAAATACCACCCTCTCAATTAACGAATCTCCAGGGTCCTAAGAAAAGCAATCATCGCAGTTTTGTGAAACCCACCACCCTAGCTTTACTTTGATCTTCCTCTGTCTTCAGGCTTGTTTCAGTTCCGCAGAAGCAGACATACAATTACTAAGTATGAGATGGAATGAACTCAGGCAGCAGTAGTTCATTATTGCTTGATAATAACTATAATTATTACAAGGACTGCCGGAGATGGAAAAGACAAGAGAAATAGAATTATCATAGGGAGTGGTGCCCGAACTGGTGCGTCTGTTTGTATCAAGTAAAACCTGCTTCCTGTTTTCAATGCCCCCTTCCCTAGTCCCTCCAGGTAGACCAGCTGAGTCCCAGGAACTTCCAGGCAGAAGCCGTCCCAGAGCAGAGAGGCAAAGTCCTCCCTTGCTCCTAGAGAGGTCCTGGAAGCGCAGCGCAATCCCGGAAGGCGAGGTGATGACGCACTTCCGGTCTTTGTGACTCATTGTGTCTGTGTCGAGGCGTCGGAAGGGCCTAGGTCTGTGTCCAGCGCCCTTCGGCCGGCCAGCACCCCAAAGTCAGCACCCTATTCTCGCCCAGCTCCCCCAGGCCGCTCCCGGGGCTCACGGTGAGACTGGGGTCTGGCCTCTGGGGAGGGCGGACGTGGGCGCAGGGATGTGTGCGTGCGGGGGAGCTCTGCAAATGTGGCCTTGGGGTCCCCCTCGTCTCTCCCCTGACCTTCCGTAGCAGCATCGTCTCCCGAGGAGCCATCCCCGCCCACCCGGGTGCAGGCGCCCTGCGACCCAGGGTTCCGCGGCCCGCTAGAATGGGGTGCCTCAAAGACGTGGGTGCCCGCGGTGTCGTCAGAGTTGTTTGACGTTTCCGAGAATAGGGTCGCACAGGACCCTGTTTTTCTTCTCTTCAGTTGCTATTTGCTTTGATTCCGGTGAGAGAGCCCCACCCCCGGGGTCCTTGGAGACCCCAAGGGGTAAGACAGTGAGATGAACACCTTTGGAGGTGCCTGTGTTTTCCGATCACCTCTTTCTCCCACCCCCAAACGATGATTAGAGAATATTTGAAGCCTGGTCAGAGTGTTTCGGATCTAGTCACGGTAATATACACCCCCTTTCCCTTTCTTCTAGCGGCATGGATGTTTGTTTGTTTGTTTTGCTGTCTGGGAGATTAAGTGGACTTTTCATTTTTGGTAGTTTATCTGCTTTCCTTGTAGTGCATGAAGAGTGAAGGACATTTGTAGATAATGCATCGAGCCGTTGGGAGACTGACTTAACTGAATGACCTTGGATAAGACAAAGCATGCACCAACTCTCAATTTTGTGTCATCAATAAAATGAATTTGATTTTCTCAAAAGGCTTTTCCAACACTGAAATTATATGATTTGATCAATGTAATTCAGAAATGCAGTGACAGTTTAACCTGACAATGTAGGTCACCCTCCTTCCCTGCAGTGTGCCTCTAGCACCCAGAAAGATACTTCCTTTATAAAGAGTGGCTGTAACGTGGCCTGGGACCAAAGAAAGCATTTATTGTACAGGCCATTGCTTGGCGGATTGGAGGCTTTCAATCAATACATACTTGTGGAATTGTGGCGAGTTCATTGTAACCTGAAACGATGTTGAGCACTAGAGCTTTATTACTCAGGGACCCCTCATGAGAATTTGCCCCAGGATGTTGTTCCTGGTTTGTAGTGACTAAATTACTCTAAAATTTTTGTTTATTGTTTCAAGCAGCTTTCACCAATTTCAAAATGAAAACTTTGTTCACATCGAAATACAGACTGTGGTTAAGTCTAACTGTACCTTTCATTCTGAGGTTTTGTCAGTCCTTGTAGAGATAGCTGTCTTGTCAAGGTAGCGTTTTCATACTTTAAAAGATTTTATTGTTGATACCACCTTGTATAGGGTTTCTGATGAGTAGCTGGTGGGTTTGAACTGCCGACCTTGCAGTTAGCAGTCCAGTGCTTATCCTATACAGCGTCACACCTGCTGAGTTAAAAAGTTGGGGGTGCAGTTAAACTTTGAATATCACACTGTAGAAGAAAATACCGCCCTGTTTAGAAGATAGTCTTTGGAGTAAACTGAACTTGTATCTTCAAGCCCTTTTTGCAAGAAAATAGTTTGTATGTATCCTTGCTGAGACTTCTTTGCTGGAGATAATCTTATCTAAATGTTTTGCTAAATGTCAGCATGTTTTTCAGTTTTTGAACTCAGAGAGATCCCAGAGATGGTTTTCCAACCCTTCCCATGTTTCCACCCCACCCCCAGTTTGATAGACACTAAGTTGTTGTTAGTGCCGTCGAGTTGATTCCAACCCGTAGTGACCTTGTATAGGGTTTTGGAGGAGTGACTGGTGAGCTTGAACTGCCGACCTTGCGGTTCAAATGACTGTGCAGTCCAGTGCATTGACACAGTGCCACACTAGGACTAAGTTGTTGTTTTTATGTGCCGTTGAGTCGGTTCCAACTCATAGTGACCCTGTTTAGGGTTTCCAAGGAGCAGCTGGTGAGCTTGAACTGCTGACCTCGAGGTTCACACTGAATTTGCAGTCCAGCGCATTAACCCACAGAGCCAGAGGTTAAATAACTGATTCTGGAATGTGTGTCTTACTTTTGGAAGATGAGCATTCAACTGTTCCAACCTATGCTGCCTTTGTTTGTAGGATTTCTCCCATTGCTTAATCTTTAAAGCAAACTGAAATTGACATGTACAGTTATCCTTAAGTTTATTAAGAAATTAAATATAGTGACTTCTATCAAAAACCAAACCACACTGATTGCCATCCGGTCACTCCTGACTCACATTGACCACACAGGCGGAGTAGACCTGGCTCATAGCATTTCTAAGGATGTAGTCTTTACAGAAGCATGCTGCCTGCCTCGTCGTGCTCCCAAGGAGCAACTGGTGGGTTTGAACTATGGTTTGCAGCTTAATGCTTAAACCACTACACCACCAGGGCTCCTTGTGGCTTCTGTTGTTGTATGGGCCATCGAGTTGGTTCTGGCTCTCCTGGTGAGTTTGAATTGCCAAACCTCCAAAAACCAAACCCACTGCCAATGGGTTGATTCCAACTCATAGTAACCCTATTTAGGGCTTCTGAGCCGAAGTCTTTACAACAGCAAGCTACTTCATCTTCTCCTGTAAATTGTGTGGTGGGTTTTAATCACCAACCTTGTCCAGTTGTCCAGTGTATCACCAGGCCTTCTAGACAGACAGACAGACATGCCACTGCTCTTGTGTTGGTTCTGACTCAATGACCTCCGAAATGTAGTGTTTCAGAGACTAAATCTTTACAGGAGCAGACAGCCTTATTCTTCTCCCTGGTGTATTTAAACTGCCAACCTTGTGGTTAGCAATCTAGTGTTTCCCCTACAGCACCACCAAGACTTCTGTTGTGTGCTGTTGGGTCACATTGGTTCCAGTGCACAACAACTCTGTATAGTGTTTCCGAGAGAGACTGGTGGGTTTTGTACTGCCAACCTGCAGATATGCAGTCCTGTGCTTATCCTACAGCACCACACCAAAACTCCACCAGGGCTCCATGGTTTTATTAAGTGCAGTGAAGTCAGTTCTGACTCATTGAGCCCCTGTGTAGGGTTTCTGAGGCCTGAAATATTTGCAAGAGCAGAAAGCCTCATCTTTCTCCCACAGAGTGGTAGTTGTTGTTGTTATGTGCCGTTGAGTCAATTCTGACCCATAGCGACCCTGTATAGGGTTTCCAAGCCTATAAATCTTTATGGGAGCAGAAAACCTCGTCTTTCTCCTGCGGAATAGTTGGTAGCTTCGAACTGCTGATCTTGAGGTTCGCAGCCTGATCCGTAACCACTACGCTACCAGAACTCCTCCCACAGAGTGGTAGACAGGCTCAAACTGCTGACCTTGTGGTTCGCCATCCAAAGCTGATCGTATGGAACCAATGCACTCCTACCCAAGGTTCTGTTCCGTTGTTGTTGTTAAGAACTGTACAGGGTTTCCAAGGAACAGCTGCTACCTACCTTGTGGTTCAAACAGACCTTGCAGTCCAGTGCTTTATCCTACAGCGCCACACCAGGACTCCATCCAGGGCTCCATGTTGTTGTTGTTAAGTGCCATTGAGTCGGTTCCGACTCACAGTGACCCTGTATAGGGTTTCAAGGGAGTGTCTGGTGAACTTGAACTACCAATCGTGCGGTTCAAACCAACCTTACAGTCCAGCCTGTTAACCCACAGCGCCACACCAGGACCCACTAAATGCCGCTAAATACCAGGCACTTTTTTAAGTGTTTTGAATATAGTTAACTCATTTACCCTTCGTAGCAATTTTATGAGGCAGTGACTATACAATAAGCCCTGGTCTGTAAACCATGAGGTCGGTGGTTCAAGTTCACCAGCTGCTCCATGGGAGAAACTGAGACTTTCTGCATCTGCAAAGATGTACAGCCTCGGAAATCCTATACAGGATCATTGTGAGTTGGACCTGACAGGACAGCGCTTCACAGCAATAGTACCCTTGCTGTTTTTAATCCTCATTATATGAATGAGGAGACTGATGCATAGAGAGGTGGTTGTTGTTCAGTGCTGTGGAGTCGATTCCAACCCATAGCGACCCTGTATAGCGTTTCCAAGGAGTGGTTGGTGAGCTTGAACCACTGACTTTGCAGTTCAAATGACTTTGCAGTCTGACGCATTAGCCCACAGCGCTACACCAGGACTCCATAGAGAGGTTAGCCTGCCTAATGTCATCACCTTCTACAGGTGGGGCAGCTGCTAAGTAACCAGTGGGACTCATTCCAGGGCACAGAAATGGGCAAAATATAGTGACTCCATACAGTCAATCAAGTTTTGTTTTGTTTTTCAACTTTAGAAGGAATTGTGCTCAGTAGTCTAAGAGGTACAAGGATAGGTGCCATTGTAAGAGCTCTGGTGGCACAGTGGTTAATTGCTGGGCTGTTAACTGAAAGGTTGGTTTGAACCCCCCAACAGCCCCAGGAAGAGAAGCCCTATCAATCTGCTCCTGCAAAGATTGTTGTTTCTGTTTTTAAATGCCTTCGAGTTGCTTCCAGTTCATATCGACGGAGCCGCAAGGTCAGCAGTTCGAAACTACCAGCGGTTCCGCGGGAGAAAGATGAGGCGGTCTGCTCCCGTAAAGATTTACAGCCTCGGAAACCCTGTGTAGGGTCGCTATGAGTCGGAACCGACTCCACGGCACATAACAACAACAACAACAACAACAGGGTTTCCAAGGAGCGACTAGTGAGTTTGAACTGCAAGCGACGTTGCAGTCCAGTGCTTATCCTATAGCGCCACACAGGATTGCAGCCTTGAAACCCATTGGGACAGTTCTACTGTGTCCTGTAGGGTCACTAAGAGTCAGAAGCAACTTAGAGGCACACAACAGCAGGTGAGTAGAAAAGTGTGAGAAATTAAATTACAGAGGAAGAACCTTAAATGACAGACCAAATGATTGTTGGAGGTCTAGGGCCACACACATAGAGGAAGGAGAGAAATGATGTGCTCAGATCACCTTGGAACCCTAAAACAACACCAGTCCTCCCACTGTTGCTGTGGCTCTTCTCTGGCCCAGAGTAAAGCAGAGAAATACTGGGTGTGGGACAAGGGGGCAGCGGGAAAAGG